ACGAACGCTGTTCGATTCCCATTCGAATAGCCGAACATCAGTGGAAGGTATGTGTTTAGCGGTGTTCACACCGTCGAGTGTCCGATTTCAGTTCCATACACTTGACGACCAAACATCGCTCATTGTGCTCCCGGCTTAAGATGGCCGCCGCCACGTCTTCGAATGCCAGCCGACCACTTTGAACTGCTTCGGGAGTTCGAAGTGCTGCTTTGAACCACTTCGAGAGTTCAAAGTATAACCATACAATTCCAAAAGCACAAACAGGGGCCATAGTTACAGGGCAGGAGGCTGGCAAACAGACTCCTCCAAAAGCCAGTGCCGAGGTTACTTTCGTCACAGTGGGATTTAAGCGCTTTTCGGATATGTTGGGTGCTCAGATACAGGCTATCCGGGGATATAGTATTTAGGGGGGTATCAAGCTGTAAGTTATGTGTTCTGGGGTGTTTGAGTAATGTATATCCTTGACCTTAAAGATAATGTCATTATGTATGTCCTTTTTCTGCAGTCTACTCTCAGGTCCAGTGGGGAATGCCCCTGTAATATGTAAGGAGAAAACCCTAGTGTAACGGTACCTCCAGGTATAGGAGGGGTTAATGTCGTTTAGGATGTTCCCTTCCCAAATGCGAAGGCAGCTAACGAACACTCCAATCAGCCGAACAAGAATCATATGAACACTCTCCACTCCAAACAGCCGAACAGTAAATCCATACGAATAAATTCCCCCAAGTACGAGACCGAGCTCCGTATTGAGGGTCAGCAGAGATCTGGTTTTAATGGGGCTACCTGCTCGGTATTTATGCAGGTCTTCCACTCCCCTAGGGGACCTGGTGGAAAACTGTGACAAAAATGACAAAGTAACCAAGAATTACAGGCATAAACACTTAGTTGTGAAGAACCCTCCTCTCTATCCTGGAGATAATTGAGAAGTAATTCAATTATCTCCCAGGATAGAGGCAAAACTCCATTTTACATGTGGCAGGAAAAACACATAAAAATATATAACATACAAACTACCGAATACACTAAGTACAATTAACGTATCCCCAGATAGCTTAGATCTGAGCGCACATTATTACCGAATGGCGCTCAGATCACATTCATACAGTTCAATCGCCATGGAGCCAAAGTCTTTCACATAGTCTTTCGGCTCCATGGCATAGTTATCTGGGGTAAGTCCATTCGTGCAGAAAAAGTACCAAACGGGCCGGCGTTCGTATGCTGGATGAACAGAGGAAGGGAGGTCGGCGGCTTCAGCGGTGTTCGTGAGAAATAGTGTCCGTTTTTAGTTCTATGAAATCGTCGACGAACACCACTTTGCAATCGGACATCCAAGATGGCCGCTGCCTCATGGTTGGCATACGAACGACGACCACCCAGCTGACATTCGACAATTAGGAAGTGTCTGCGGTTAACCACAACGTTCTGATGGGGCCAAGAGGTTAACAAACATCACACTTCCCTGCTGGGTGGCCGACCATTCGGCAGTTGTTCGGTAAAAGAGCAAATAAACGGAGGAGCTGTACGGGCAGGGGAAATAGCCGAACAAACAGACGAATGGAGGGAAAATAAAAGTAATTCACAGACATATGGGTCTGTCACACCTTGCATGGAGATTTGTATATAAAGCCAGCTGTGGCTCCCATTTAACTCAGTTTAGCTTCACCCTCAACACAGAGCCTTGTCTCGTGCTTGTAGGGAACCGCTATATCTGCTTCTTTATTGCTTGTTTTTTTGCTTGGGAACATTTCAGCACAACTCATACTAGGGATAAAGGGACATCTCTGGTGGCGGAAACCCCTGCTCTCACAGGGTGGCCGCCACAGGGAACCACCTCACTGGCATATACTGGGAATGAAGACCACCTCACTACATCATACTGGAAATGGGGGCCACCTCATAAGGGCAATGGGGACCACCTCACTGCATCATACTGGGAATGGAGGATCACCTCACTGGCATCATACTGGGAATGGGGGACCACCTAACTGAATCATACAGGGAATGGGGGACCACCTCACTGCATCATACTGGGAATGGGAGACTACCTCACTGCATTATACTGGGAATAAGGACCACCTCACTGCATCATACTGGGAATGGGGGACTGTAACGGACCGTTCTGCCCAAAAGAGGTTAAAAATCGTTTAGGCGATATTCCCCTTTTTCAGCTGCACCGACAGCTACTGCAAGCACCAATCTCCTGAACTGCAAACCCACGAATTCACCAACTCCCGAACTGCAACCAAGGGAAAACTCGAAACTCCCGAACTGGAGACAGACGAATAGTTGCTAGCAGACGAACAGGAAAAGCCCCCAAGCTGCTTACACTCCTGGCAATCAGTCTCTAACAGCATACAGTAAATCCTCTCCCAATAATGAGACGACACTTCACTTTGAGGGTTAAGCAGGAACGGATTTACTGGGGCTAACTGCCCGGCTTTTATGCAGGTCTCCCACCTGGTGGACACTCCCCTAGGGGACCAAATGGGAGACTGGGACACAAAGGGTAAAAGGACCAATCACAGACTTACACATTTCAACCATCCCACAATGCATCACAATCCCTCCTCTCTGCCCTGGAGATAATTGGGCAGTAATTCAATTATCTCCAAAGACAGAGGCAAAACTCCATTAACCACATGGCAGAAAACAAACAGTAAAAGACATAAAATTACCTACAGTTACATTCAGTACATAAAATATATACGTTCTACATATCCCCAGATAGCTCAGGTCTGAGCGCACATTATTAAGCGAATGGCGTTCAGACCACACAAATACAGTTTAATCGCCATGGAGCCAAAGTCTTTACACAGTCAGTTTCATGCGAATGGGCTCCATGGGATTCCTATCTGGGGCACAACACACTCAAACAAAACTGCCGAACACCAGGCCGTTCGTGCACTTTCACCGAACAAGAAGGGAGGTCGGCGGCTTCAGCAGTGTTTGCGCAAAACTGTGTCCGATTTCAGTTCCATGAATTACGCGAACACCGCTGTGCATTCGCATGTTTAAAATGGCCGTGACCTCGTGTTCGTGATACGAATGGCGGCCACCCAGCATTCGTAAATTAAGCTGCGGTTAACCGCAGCTTCAGGGAGGTTAATTGCCAGCACACTCTAGCTCCCAGGTGGTCTATTCATTCATGCGGTTGTTCGGTAGATTGAATCTACCGAACACCCGGCAGAAAAGCACGAATAAGTCTTTTCTGCAGGGAAAAAAGATGTCTTAACATGGGGCCATAGTCCAAAGGCAGCAGGCGAGCAACCAGGCTTCTCCAGTGTACAGTGGCGAGGTTGGTTTCACCACAGGGACCACCTTACTGCATCATTCTGGGAAAGGGGGACCACCTCACTGCATCATACTGGGAAAGGGGGACCACCTCACTGCATCATACAGGAAATGGGGGGCCATCTTACTGCATCATACTGGGAAAGGAGGACCACCTCACTGCATCATACAGGGAATGGGGGACCACTTCACTGCATCATACTGGGAATGAGGGACCACCTTACTGCATCATACTGGGAATGAGGGACCACCTTACTGCATCATACATGGAATGGGGGAACCACCTCACTGCATGATACAGGGAATGGTGGACAACCTCATTGCATCATACAGAGAAAGAGTGCCACCTCACTGCATCATACTGGTAATGAGAACCCCCTTACTGCACACTACAGGGAATGGGGGACCACCTCACTGCATTATACAGAGCATGGTGACTACTTCATTGCATCATATTGGGAATGGACCACCTCACTGCATTATACAGGGAATGGGGGACCATCATAGAGAGCATGGGAACCACTTTACTGCATTATACAGGGAATGGACCACCTCGCTACATTATACTGGGAATGGACCACCTCACCACATTATACTGCAAATGGGGGACCACCTCACTGCATTATACAGATAATGGGAACCACCTCACTGCATCATACTGGGAATGGGGACCACCTCACTACATCATTCAGGGAATGGGGGACCACCTCACTACATTATACAGGGAATGGGGAACCATCTCACTGCTTTATACAGGGAATGGGGACCACCTCACTGCATCATACTTGGAATAGGGGACCACCTCAATGCATCATACTGGAATGGGGGGCCACCTCACTGCATCATACAGGGAATGGGGGACCACCTCACTGCATCATACAGGGAATGGGGGGACCACCTCACATCATGATACAGGGAATGGGGGGGACCACCTCACTGCATCATACAGAGAATCGGGACCACCTCACTGCATGATACAGGGAATGTGACCACCTAACTGCATCATACAGGGATTGTGGACCACCTAACTGCATCATACAGAGAAAGGAGACCAACTCATTGCATCAGGGCCAGATTAAGAGTCCAGTGGGCCTGGTGCTGACATTTATGATGGGCCTAAGTACAGAATCTTATCGACAAAAACACTAAAACAGTTATACCTCTCAAGCATTATGTGTCTGGTGGGGATGTTGCCAGAGGGAAACTCATAGGATGCAGCTATAACAAAATGCAGACTCTTAAAATATGCTAATCTCTCTCTAATTAATGCTTTCATCTTTCAAGTAAATCCATACTCCCGAACAGCAGTATCCAGTGAAGCAGGAAGTCAATGGGCGGCGTAAAAGGGTGGGCCACTGACACAGATTATGTAACCAGAACTCCAGAAAGGGACAAACATGCCCAAAAAGAATGCGTGTCTGCCCAAAGAATTAGAAGGCTAGCCTGGCAATCATGCATGCTGGCCAACAGGATCCTGAGCTTGGCATAAATGTGTCTAATGATGCGCCTGCTCCATGCTTTCTAAGAACTGACCCTAGCACTCACATGTCCACTTGTCTCCTTACCTTCTTACTAGCAGGCAGAAGCACCTGGTTTATAGTCTGGGACAGCGAAAAGGTGTATGTAGTGAGTATAGAAGAAAGGGAACATGCCACAGTGTTAGAGAGACCAAAGTCAGCATTACCTTAACTCATTTAATTTCAGCTAGTCCACACAGGTCCCTCTTAAGTGTCCATACTAAAGCAAGAGTGTAACGGCACTCTCAGCATCAAATAGTAAAAGCGCTGTTTAGTTAATCCTCCCCTCTCACCATAATGCAAGCTGCATTCGTACCAACTCCAATCATACGAACTGCAAGCAGGGGAATACTCCAATCTCCCGAATGGGACCCATACGGGTACTTCACTTCCCAATCAGTAAACTCACGAATCGCCGCTAACAGACGAAACCATAAATCTCCCAAGCGGCTAATAATTCCATCCGGCAGTCGCTATTCGTGTAGTAAATTCCCCTCCAATAACGAGACCAAGCTCCGCATTGAGGGTAAAACATGAACTGGCTTTACTGTGGGCTACCTGCCCGTATTTATGCAGGTCTCCCACTTGGTGGACACTCCCCTAGGGGACCAAATGGGAGACTGTAATGGCAGATGAACATACAGCATTTCAGGACACACAGACACATTATATTCCCGGCATGCATCATGGTTTCCTACCCTCTGCCCTGGAGATAATTGAGAAGTAATTCAATTATCTCCCAGGACAGAGGCAAATAGCCATTTTAGATGCGACCCAAAAAAAACACACTCCGGGGGAAGGCTATCTGGGTTAAGTTAATTCGTGCGGTTCAAACTCCTGAACGGCCGGTGTTCGCATGCCTCGGTCGATGGAGAAGGGAGGTCGGTGGTTTTAGTGGTGTTCAGCAGAAAAAGTGTCAGTTTTCAGTTCCATAGAATCTGTGCCGAACACCGCTGGTCTTTCGCCTGTTTTAAAATGGCCGCCGCCTCGTGGTCGACATACGAATGATGACCACCCTGTATTCGGTTATAATTGAGAGGTGTCTGCGGTTAACCACAACGTTCTAATTGGGATCAAGAGGTTAACCAGCAGCACACTTCTCTTCTGGGTGGCCGTCCGTTCGGTAAGTTCATTCAGTAGAAAAGTCAAATAAACGAACAGGGGCATACGGACAGGTAATTCCACAAAAGGAGGCAAAACATACGAACCAGCAATCTTAGTCTATACAGATGGATCTGTCACAAAGAGTATGTGAAGAGTAGTTAGGGTTGCCACCTTACTTGAAAAAAATACAGGCCTTACTAATTTGCATAACTAATTATAAATGTGTAAAAACTGACAAAAGAGAAAATTCTGTAAAATCACCAAAAAACTACTTACAGTGAGAGCAAGGAGGGGAGAGGTCAGAAATCAGGTAAAGGGTAGAAACACAATAAATAACAGAAAAAAACACATAGTACAGAATCACAGCAAAAACAAACAGCAAAGTATATACAAAATATAATACAGAAACAACCTCAAAAGAGGAAATAGAAACATAAAGTAATGGAGAAGAGTAATATTCTGACCTGTCTGCTTGATGGAGCAGCAAAGAAAGAGGAGGTGCTTAGGTCACTGTGTCTTATGTACATCCTACTGTCTTGTGATTGGTTCTTTTTTCAATGTGTTTCTTTGCTGCTGTGGAGCTAGTAAAGAGAGATTATGCAAAATACGACGCCTCCTGTCATGTTGTAAAATTTTATTTTCTGTGATGGCTATTAAGCTTACTAGACAAACATAGCAACTTCTAAAATTATTTCACATTGAAATTTTATTTTAGACCTTGTATTTTGTGACCTGTAACTTTCAAAATAAGCTGAAATCCAAAACACTTTGTGTACCTATAAATAAAGACACATAAATTCATTTCTTTTTAATTACTTTTCTTAAGCTGTACTAATTATGTAGAAATAATTATTTCCAAAACTGTGAAATGTGCTGCACCTAGTTATAATAAGTGAAACTATTTAACTGCATGGGTCTTATCAAATTAAAACTCCTTTTGTCCTTTAAAAACTGTACATAATATGTGTTGGTGCAATAAATGAAAGAGTTGGTAATTGCGAACAAATGAAGTGGGGTCAATTATGGGTTAAACTGTTACTGGATCTCTACCTAAAATATGTAATATCACATAAGGCATCTGTGAGTAATAGAGGGGTAATACAAACACTATAATCACTAATACTCAGTGTATTATTACAGCTCATTGTACTATTACAGCTTATCGTATTATTACAGCTCAAAGTTTTATTACAGTTCATTGTATTATTACAGGTCAGTGTATTATTACAACTTATTGTATTATAACAGCTCATTGTATAACAGAATATTGTATTTTTACACATTATTGTACTATTACAGCTCATTGTATTATTACGGCTTATTGTATTAAAAACAGCTCATAGTATTATTGCAGTTTATTGTATGTAGATGCATAAATGAGAAAAGGAAAGTAAAATAAGGATTAGTAAGATTAAAAACAACAGAAGGAAGGTATGTAGAAGAGGATAAAGGTCTAGCTGACTGCCTCAGTGAATAATATTGTTCAGTATTTACAGATGAAAATGAAGGAAAGGGGGCTCAGTAAGGAAAAAAGACAAATTAGTCATTTGTTACATGTGAGTTTACAGAGGAAGAGGTTCTATTTCAACTGTCAAAAGTAAAGACAAATAAGTCAATGGGACGTGATGGAATACACCCAAAGTTATTAAAAGAGCTTAGTGGTGTACTAGCAAAACCATTAACAGATTTATTTAACCAATCATTGTTAACAGTAGTAGTCCCAGAAGATTGGAAGTTAGCGAAGGTTCTGCCCATTCACAAGAAAGGTAATAGGGAGGAGTCGGGCAACTATAGGCCAGTAAGCCTTACTTCAGTAGTGGGGAAAGTGATGGAAACCATGTTAAAGGATAGGATTGTTGAACATCTAAAAATACATGGATTTCAAGATCAAAGACAACATGGGTTTACTTCAGGGAGATCATGCCAAACTAATCTTATTGATTTTTTTGATTGGATAACTAAAATTATAGATCAGGGTGGTGCAGTAGACATTGCTTACCTAGATTTCAGTAAGGCTTTTGACACTGTTGCACATAGAAGGCTTATCAATAAACTGCAATCTTTAAGTTTGGATTCCAATATTGTTGAATGGGTAAGGCAGTGGCTGAGTGACAGGCAACAGAGGGTTGTAGTTAATGGAATATATTCGAAGCTTGGACTTGTCACCAGTGGGGTACCTCAGGGATCTGTACTTGGACCCATTCTCTTTAATATTTTTATTAGTGATATTGCAGAAGGTCTTGATGGTAAGGCATGTATTTTTGCTGATGATACTAAGATATGTAACAGGGTTGATGTTCCAGAAGAGATAAACCAAATGGCAAATGATTTAGGTAAACTAGAAAAATGGTCAGAGTTGTGACGACTGACATTTAATGTGGATAAGTGCAAAGTAATGCATCCTGGGTATAAAAACCCAAGGGCAGAGTACAGAATATTTGATAGAGTCCTAACTTCAACATCTGAGGAAAGGGATTTAGGGGTGATTAGTTCTGATGACTTAAAGGTAGGCAGACAATGTAATAGAGCAGCAGGAAATGCTAGCAGAATGCTTGGTTGTATAGGGAGAGGTATTGGCAGTAGAAAGAGGAAAGTGCTCATGCCATTGTACAGAACACTGGTGAGACGTCACTTGGAGTATTGTACACAGTCCTGGAGACCGTATCTTCAGAAGGATATTGATACTTTAGAGAGAGTTCAGAGAGGGGCTACTAAACTGGTTCATGGATTGCAGGATAAAACTTACAAGGAAAGGTTAAAGGATCTTAACATGTATAGCTTGGAGGAAAGACGAGACAGGGGATATGATAGAAACATTTAAATATATAAAGGGAATCAACACAGTAAAGGAGTGTCAAAAATGGGTCGCAAGAGAATACTGAGAACGGGCAGCAGCTGAAATAGCCTGCCCTTCGGTCGGTCCCCGCTCAGTTCTCAAGCTGATTTTTGCTCATCTTGTGCCATTACAGAGAGAACATATCTGAAGCATATCAGATTGGTCCCACCCATATGGGCAGTCCAGATCCGAAATACCAGCAAGTTCTCTCTGCACGAGAGATACAGCAACCCCAGACGATCGCTTCAGCCTTGTTAGGCATCATCAGTGAGGCATAGCTGATATCTCCCTAGGCACCGTGAGCAAGGGGTCCACGTCTGGATTATCCCTTTAAACTTGTGGAGAGTCAAAAATGGGTCGCAAGAGAATACTGAGAACGGGCAGCAGCTGAAATAGCCTGCCCTTCGGTCGGTCCCCGCTCAGTTCTCAAGCTGATTTTTGCTCATCTTGTGCCATTACAGAGAGAACATATCTGAAGCATACACAGTAAAGGAGGAGACTATATTTAAAAGAAAAACTACCACAACAAGAGGGCATAGTGTTAAATTAGAGGGGCAAAGGTTTAAAAATAATATCAGGAAGTATTATATTACTGAGAGGGTAGTGGACGCATGGAATAGCCTTCCAGCTGAAGTGGCAGAGGTTAACACCGTAAAGGACTTTAACCCCTTAAGGACCAAACTTCTGGAATAAAAGGGAATCGTAACGTCACACGTCATGTGTCCTTAAGGGGTTAAGCATGCGTGGGATAGGCATTGGGCTATCCTAACTATAAGATAAGGTCAGGGACTAATGCAAGTATTTAGAAAATTGGGACTAGATGGGCCAAATGGTTCTTATCTGTCGTCACATTCTATGTTTTTATTACAGCTCAGTGTATTATTACAACTTTTTGTATTATTACAGTTTATTGTATTAAAGATATTGTAAAAATAGCAAACTGGAAAACAAATCTGTGGTTTGCTAAAGTATGATTATGATCTTGTAGAGTGCTGTCCCATGGCAGTCCTTTCCTGGGATATTGTAGCGGAGAGGTAGTTTAATCCACAATATCTCCTCTGGGTAACAGGAACAGCATAAAATCAACCAGGCAAAATAAGTACAGCATGCAATAATCCCGGTAGCATTGTATAAATCCTTCCTTCCCAAGAACTAGACGACACATAGGCTGGGAGTCAACTGGGGTTTTAATCACAGATCACAGTATTTATGTGGTTCCCCATGTAAGGGGTTTCCCTACTGACATTACAGGGGTTGTACAGTAGGGGACTACATGGGGAACTTAACAACCAAGATATTTCTCCCACCATGCACTGCTGTACGAGAGGGATACTCCCACTAGAATATCCTGTTAAGTGGATTATCCCTCCATGCAACAGAACTGGCATTTCACATAAAAATATACAACTTTAACATTATTCATACTATATTACCGAATGACCGTTCGGTAGATAGCTGGGGTCTGAGCGCACATTTCGTGCAAATACAGCTCAGATCCCAGCACATCTAGCCGAACGCCGCATGAATTTCAATCCAATATACACTTCGCATAAATTACACGAATACACTCGTAGGGAGCAAGTACGGAAAGACCGGTACTCCCGAACACCTGGAAATCCAGCGGTATTCGTGCCGTCGAGTAGCCGATTTTAGTTCCAGGCACTCGATGACAAAATACCGCTGGGCTAACAAAGGATCCAAGATGGCCGACCGCTGCATGGTCGGTAGCCGAACGGCGGCCACCCTGAATTCTTAATAACTACCGAAAGATACAATGTTTAATGGGCGCCACACAACCTCCTGTGTGTGGTCTCCCATTCGGTAGTTTGTTCGTTTCACGAACAGTGTTGAAGTTCACTGTTCGTGAAACGACTGTATGAATGCTGGTGGCTTTCGTGCCGCCAGCATACGAATGCTCTTGTTCGCATAAAATAAAGAATTAGGTATACGCTTGGTTCTAACATTCTTAAAGTTACAGCAACACATTAATACCAATACAGTCTTAAGTGGCTAGTTTTGCCACAGATGTACTCTAATTAGACATGGTAACAATACTTCCCGCATGTTCACATATAAACAACCTGTCACGGAGTCCAAGGAGCTTTGCACAGAATAGCCATTTCCACCATTTCGTCTCTAGACAGATACTAGACTTACAAAAACAACACAAAACTCCATGCTTCCCAAATGTGAGAAAAAGGTTTTGTATATTTCAGCTGGAAAGCTGCCCTTTTCCACAAACCATCGTCTTCAGTAGTAGGTAAGAGATTAGCGAGGGAATGAGAGATGATCCGAGTCTCGGACTTTTAATAAATCCCATGTCCAATCGCTGTCCTCGTCTTGTAAGGGGAGGTCAGTGATTGGTTGGAAACCGGTCGGCTGATGTCTCATGTAATTGGAGTACGTCATAAGGAAAACGTCTTTGAAAGCTGCTGAGATTTGCCTGTTCTTATCTTCTCTTTATTTATGTTTTAAAGCATTTACTTAGGGTCTCCCAGCTTTGGACACTGCATTCACTGTGCCTAGAGGGGTATGAGGTACACCTGACAAAGTCCAAACAAGGCCGAAACGATGGGCTGGGGTTGCTGTATCTCTTGTGCACAGGGAACTCTTGCATTGTTTAAATGGCATTATAGGCACCCAGACCACTTCGTCTCATTAAACGGTCCGAGTCCAGTGTCCACTGCCCCCATTGCCAATGTCGGAGGAGGCAGAGTCAGTGCCGAGGGAGCTTGGGCTGAAAGAGGTTTTAAACAGTTTCAACACCGGTGTGTGTGAGGGAAATATAACCTTATGGAAGAGGGACACTACAGCATTATGTGTTTAGCATTTGTACAGCGCCAACTTATTCTGCAGCCCGTTACAATATTATAAAGGGTGAAATTTAACAATAAATGAGACAATTCCAAAATATTAGAAAAATAGGCTGATGGGGACCCGGCTAAAACCAGCTTACCGTTAACAATAGAGGTTTGTATTCCGAACGCTATAGTGTTTCTTTAATAGAGGTGTTTTATGAAAAGGGGGAGGGGGTTGAGATGGTGGAATTACATAGCACCAGAGCAGCTGATTTGTAAAATTATTTAATATTTGAAATTATCTTTGTATTCTCACCTTAGTAAATAACCCCGTTCTTGGGACCCATAGTTAGTCAATACTGGCACCAACCTGGAGTCTCTGTTACTGAGTGATGGATCCAACCTTAAGGAGTATTGTAAGGAGACTGGTAGAGCTTGGGGGCCAAGATACCAGAGCACTGCACCCAAATACTACCAACGGGCAGCTTTAATGTGAAATGTGCCCCCTCCATTTTAAATAAACCGCACAAGGAGGCTAGGTAGTTCCACTTTATTACCAGTCACATATACATATATTGATTACTGCTCGAGACTGGCAGATGACATGCATGACATCACACGGGCATTCTGGCTCTCATGATTGCCACGCATTTGCATGATTGGCATCGCAAGTTCTGTTCATCATTTATATGGGCACAAGCTCTCAGAGAATTTGCCATTTATTTCATAATAATTAGCAGACTGTACAGAAAGAACACAGAGGGCAGCCAGGCGTTGACTAATCGTTGCCATCGATGGCTTCCAAGACGTATGTTTTTCTAGTTTAATCAGGAATGGCTTTACATCTTCAAAAAGTTTGGAAACCTTGTAATACGAATGAATTTCACAATATATACAAATCTTTAAACAAGTCACGGTGCATGAAATAAATTGAATAGTTTGTGTTCCAGCTCCACCTAGTACGCCTGTCGGTGGGCAGCCCAACCTTGTCTTCTCACTGGTGGCATGCATGCCTTGTCTCCTCTACTCGACCATGTCTTCTTAGCTGTGATCCACTTGACCTTGTTGGTGAGTGGGACATTTTGTGACACGGTCTAAGTGTTAATCTCCTGGTTTGCGATTCTAAGGAATGTGGGTGCAACACAGAGAATGTGAGATAGATGGAGAACAATGGAAATAAATTTACCCTGAGCCTGTTGAGGGAGTCATGATAGTAACATTCAGAAATACAAAATGTAATACTGAGACAGGACTGGCTGGAGTACAGAGATAGTGGTGATATTGCTGGGGTACACAAGAGAGAAGCAGGGGGGGTCTAGGTGGGGTACAGAGAGATGGCAGGAAGTCTTGGTGGGGCAGAGAGATGGGGGGGCGTCTGGGTGTGGTACAGAGAAAGGGGGGTTCTAGGTGGGTTAAAGAGAGCGAGAGAGGGGGAGCATCTCGGTGGGGTACAGGCTATCCTAACTATAGGTGGGTTAAAGAGAGTGAGAGAGGGAGATGATCTGGGTGGGGTATAGAGAATAGGTATGGGTGTGGGTGTGGTATATAAATCGAGAGAGGGGGATCTGGGTGGAGTACACAGAGAGAAGGGGTCTGGGTTGGTATCAGGTTCGGGTACACAAAAAGTGGGGGGAATCTGGGTGGAGGTACAGAAAAAGTGGGGGGGGAATATAAGTAGGGTAGAGAGAGCGAAAGAGGGGGGGATCTGGTGGGGTACTGATAGAAGATGAGGGGGAAGCTGAATTGAGAAGGTGTTTATGGGGTCAGATGAGTTAATTTGAAATAAAATGTGTAAATTCTTCTCTGATTATGATAAAGCTGCAACTTGTTCCAATTCACAGTGAAGGGTGCAGTCAGAGAATGGACGGGACACGGTTTAGGGTGGAGAGTGGTTCTGGTATTTTTATGGAATTGGAACACATTCCTTGCTGAGTCGGACGATCTCTTGTGAAAGTGCTTCAAGGTCCTGTAGAGACAGACAAGATTGGTTGAACAGGATTTTACTGGTTGTAGTCATGGTATCAAAAACGGAAAGAGTTTAGTCTTATTTGGGGTTAAAGAAAGATTATTACTAGTGCATTCGGACGCTTGCTCATTTTATTTTATTTCCAACCTCTGGCAGCAGATTCATTACTTAAAGGAACAGTCTAATGTTGGGAATACAAACATATTAAGCAACCATTTAGATTAATGTCTCCCCACTCAAATTAATCAATTAAACAGATCTCACTTTATTTCCCCTGGGGCCCAGTGTTGCCACGGCTGCCACTCCTCTTGTAGCTGAGATCATCATTATTGATAGCCTCAGCCAATCCAACGCTTCCCACAGGGGAGAATGGAGGCCAGGAGGCTAGGGTGCATGCGCAGCAATGACTGTACAAATGGAGGCAAAGTTATACTATATTGGTAAAATTAGAAATGTGCAAAAAACACGGTAGGGGACTGCCACGGCCAGCGTCACGCGGGAGCTAATCTAGGAAATGATCCATGGCTAAACTCAGATAAAACATTATATATAATCTCACCAAAATGAAAGCCAGCGGCAAGGAATTCGCACAGCGCCAAAAAATAGGCCTGATTAGGGGACATCAAAAGAAAAATTAAACCAGGTATCCGGGTAAATGTAATTGGATATATATAAGCCAAGATAGAAAAAATATTTATGGAAATGTACACGATTTTGAGGCTAAAATTAGCATTCAGAAAATGCAACTCAAGTGTATCTGAATTAGCTAAGCCAATAAAAAAATAAAAATGGAAAAATAACAGAACAAATTTCATGGAATGTGGGACCACCTATCTATGCCACGGGCCCAGACAAAGACTTCTAGTTGGTGATTATCACTAGTCCCCAAATAACCTAGGATGAAGAAGGGAAAATTCAAGTCCTAAAAACCCTTAAATGCCAAGATGGATCCCAGGGGGGGAATTTAATTAAGGAGACAGGACACATTCTGCTTTAATTATATGAAAATTGGGATCTAATTCATGTCAATCTCTCCCAGCCAGCCCCCGGG